TCAAGAAACACTGAGATTCCATCTCATTCTAGAAAGAAGGATTATTATCAAGAAATCAATCAATAACAAATACTGGCAAGGCTGTGGGAAAAAGGAACCCTTCTCCACTGTTGGTGGGAGTGTAGACTGGTGCAACCACTGTGGAAATCAGTGTGGCGATTCCTCAAAAATCCAAGACTAGAGGTTCCTTCTGACCCAGGTATTCCTCTCCTTCTTGGTATCTTCCCCAGAGAATTAAAAGCATCATGTCACAGCAATATACACACACCCATGTTTATAGCAGCACAGTTTGTAATAGCTAAATCTTGGAAGCAACCCAAATGCCCATCAACTAATGAATGGATAAAAATATATATATATTTTTAATATAATGAAGTATTACTCAGCCATAAAGAAGGATAAAATTGAGACACTTATAGTTAAGTGGATGGACCTTGAGCCCATAAGCATAAGTGAAATAAATTGAACACACATGTAAATATCACATTATCTATCTCTCTGATGTGAGAAACTGAAAAAGTAAATAAGAACCAAAATGTACAACAGATATTGTGAAATAGGAAGAAACTGTTCAAAAGGAAAAGGGAACTAGGGATGGGGAGGATGAAAGAAAGGAAGGGAAAGAAAAAATGAGAAAAGAAGGATAAAATGAAAACAGCTTTGTGAATGGGGAGGGGAAGAAAGTTTGAAGGGAGGGGTGAGAATAGGAGAGAAAAGAATCAAGACATATCATGTCCAGATGCAAATTCCCTATAATTAAGTGATCATTATGTATACCTAAATTGTACCAATAAACTTAATTAAACAGGAAATAATTTGTAGGTGTTGTGTATTGTGTTTCAGTAATGAAAAAGGTGAGTAGACAGGATTTGGTACCGGAGAAGTGGTGTTGTTGCTGTGATGCTATCTGACCATGCGGTTCACCAGGCTTTGGAACTGGGTTGTCAGAAAAGTTTGGAGAGTTTTGGACACGCTCAAGTAGACATACATAGGATGGGTGTACTGGAAAAAGAAGCAAAGGGAAGAGGTACAGGAACACCTACACTTACAAAAATACTTACCAAAAAATCTTTCCAAAGCTTGCAAAAAAGGCAGGCATCCAAGTCTTGGAATTCCAAAGGACCTCTAAGAGATATCATGAAATAACAAGATCTTCCCCAAAGTACATTATAGTTAAAATGTCAAAAATACCAAAGAAGAGTAAAAATAAGTAAAGTGTCAAGTCACTTACAATGGAATCTTCATTTGAGTGGCAGCAGATTTCTCTGTAGGAACTTTTTTATTCAAAGCACTGATAGAAAAAACTATCAGTATGAAGATTGTGCACAGAAAACTATTCTTCAGAAATAAAAGAGACACAAGGAATCCCCATACCGACTTCCATCATGGTTGTACTAGTTTACATTCAGACCAACAATGAAAAAGATAACAGGAAGCAGGCAGCTAGATCTTTCTCAAATGGGGAGGGGATCAAGAGATGGAACAAAGGGAGAGGGAAAGGAGGGGGAAGAAAATAAAATTAAAATGTGTTA